AGAAAAAATGCCATACACTTGTGAACTTTATTGATTGACCTGAGATCGTACCACATCTTTATGACATAGAAGCGAAATAGCCATATTGAACTTTAATGATGTTTGTTTAATTGTTGTTTGCCACTTTTCGACAATTGTCAAAATTTGGGGGTTTTGGGGGAGGGGTACAATTAGGTTAAAAAATTAACCTGATTCAGACTATCCTTAAATGAGCACTGATTCACCCGAGAGCATAACTTTTTCAAAACATGTAAGTGTTATTTTTGGACCACTCTCATTAATGTTTCGTCTAATTTTCCCTCAGAGTTTCATCATCATTGTCCAAATCTTAGACCATATTTGTTGAGATATATCATTATTAAAATCTTGCCTTCCTTTGCAGTTGGAAAAGATTCGGCATTAGGTGTTATAAGTCCCAGAGCACGATAAATAAATAAAAATAACAACAAAATGACATAGAACTGATAGACGTTTTTTCTTGTGCGTGTCAGCCATGGTCTACCAAATTGCTATTCAGTAAGAAGAAACTCATTTTTCAGTTTCCATTTTAATTTCCTGACAAATAGAGCGATCATCTCAGGATTTTTTCTATGATCTATGTGTCGCCCTAGCAACTTCTGTTTTAGAGAACAATAGAACAATAGAAAAGATTACTTTACCATAATTTTAACATCCTCCTAAGCAGGTGTCCAGAATCCGTACCTTCTTCTTCCCCCTGCTATAACCAATTTGGAAGCGCCCGATTAAACTGAATCACGTGATCTTATTATGCAATTAGGTAGACTGTAAATCTAGTAAATCTAGTAAATCTCGTAAATCTAGTAAATCTAGTAAATCTAGTAAAATCTTGTAAAATCTTGTAAACTTTTTAGGGACCATTCATTTGATATCAATGGCAGTCTCTATGAAGAGTACTGGTGATTGTGATTCCTTTTACAGCATTAAAAAAATACCTTCTCTGCATTAAAATTCAGAGTCATTCCTTTCATCAAATAATCAATAAACAAATTTTTTAACAAAATTGTGAAATATTATAATAAAAAAGAATGTTTAAGGGGCTGATATGATATGGCTTTAAACTATTAATTACAAGGAATACAAGGAACATCATCATCAAAACGTAAATGGAAAGCATTATAGAAATGTCATACTATACTTTATGTATAGGTAAAGCAAATAGATCAATCAGTAAGTTGTCTCACTCTTCCCCTTACTTCAGCATTTGATTGTTTTTATTATTTTGGGGGGTTGGCAAAAATCAATTTTGAAATTGCCATTTATCCATTCCTCTAACATTGGAACTTCTACAAATATTGTCAATTGAACAGCATCGCCAAAAAAATAAGCAATAACTAAATTATCTGATAGGCTAAGCATTATAACATTTTGTGAGGGAAAACAAGCCTGTGTCATTTAGATGGTACGCATTGTGGTAGACTGTAAATCTAGTAAATCTCGTAAATCTAGTAAATCTAGTAAATCTAGTAAAATCTTGTAAAATCTTGTAAACTTTTTAGGGACCATTCATTTGATATCAATGTCAGTCTCAATGAAGAGTATTGGCGATTATGATTCCTTTTACAACATTAGAAAAATACCTTCTCTGCATTAAAATTCAGAGTCATTCCCTTCATCAAATAATCAATATACAAATTTTTTAACAAAATTGTGAAATATTATAATAAAAAAGAATGTTAAGGGGCTGATATGATATGGCTTTAAACTATTAATTACAAGGAATACAAGGAACATGTCATAATCAAAACGTAAATGGAAAGCATTGTAGAAATGCCATACTATACTTTATGTATAGGTAAAGCAAATAGATCAATCAGTAAGTTGTCTCACTCTTCCCCTTACTACAGCATTTGATTGTTTTTATTATTTTTGGGGGTTGGCAAAATCAATTTTGAAATTGCCATTTATCCATTCCTCTCATATTGGGACTCCTACATATATTGTCAGCATCGCCAAAAAATAAGCAATAACTAAATTATCTGATAGGCTAACATTTTGTGAGGGAAAAACAAGCCTGTGTCATTTAGATGGTACGCATTGTCCCCTCAGTCCTTAAATATGTGGCTTAATTTGTTAATAGAGCATGCTTCTTGGGTGGGTTGTGTATGATGATAAAATGGGTGTACCATTTGATAACCATTTTGTTATCCAGTACTAACATATAGTTGTTTTGTAACTAAATATAATGAAATAAAAGGTAGAATTTTTTCTACATGTTCATTTCATTCATACAAAGACATTTTCAGTGCTTTTTCGACATTTGCACTTTATATCTTAGACATTGAATAATCAGTTTTTACAAGATTTTACTAGATTTACTAGGTTTAGTAGTTTTACTAGATTTACTAGATTTACAGTCTACCACGCATTGTCCCCCCAGTCCTTAAATGTGTGGCTTAATTTGTTAATAGAGCATGCTTCTTGGGTGGGTTGTGTATCATGATAAAATGGGTGTACCATTTGATAACCATTTTGTTATCCAGTACTAACATATAGTTGTTTTGTAACTAAATATAATGAAATAAAAGGTAGAATTTTTTCTACATGTTCATTTCATTCATACAAAGGCATTTTCAGTGCTTTTTCGACATTTGCACTTATATCTTAGACATTGAATAATCAAGTTTTTACAAGATTTTACTAGATTTACTAGATTTACTAGTTTTACTAGATTTACTAGATTTACTAGATTTACAGTCTACCAAATGACTTATACATGATTTCTGTCGCAGTGTTGCGACAGCCAATCAGATTGCGAGTTCTTAATCGGGGAAATGATAACTGCTTATCGCAGGGGGTAAAAAGAAAGAATATATTCTGGATTTTGAAGCTCTGTGATCGGAGGATGTAATTTTAATCATCCAACATTGTAGACATATTTAGAATTAAAAATATGAAGAGAATGACAAAACCTCTTAAAACACATTTCTTAGGAAACAAATAGTGTCGTATTCTTGTTACTATAGCAACATAGTTTTTTCTTTTTGTCATTTTTGTCATACAGATTACCTATCATACCAGGACCAAATCCTGAAAATTTGAATTCAGTATCTTCACTAGTATCTTAGATATATATATAGGTTTCTTATAGTATCCCCTGCAGATTTTATCGGAGTATAAGGAAAATGCTCTGAAGAGGGTTGCCCAAGGATGCCACTTAACAGTATTTTTGAGGTCCCAACCCTCTATTCATGGGAATAGTTAACCATTGTAAAGCTTCTCATGGTTAACTGACAGAATTGAATGTATCTTCAACTAAGAAGACAATAAAATGTTATAAAACCAGAAGATAACCACACCAACTTTCTTCTATTTACCAGGGGTAGGGCACTATAAAGTCATATTAAAATTACAAATAGTACTTCATCACTATAATAGATGTATTACAAAATCACACATAGCTTGGGAATGTTGTTAGAATACTACTTTGAGCTGTTTAAGTTATCATATTTTGCTTGAAGCTACAAATATAAAATAAGCAAGAAAAAAATGACGAAAATTGCATATTTTTTTCTAATTAATTGTATTTTTCCGAAACCAACAAAGATATCAACTTATAACTTTAGGATAGTATTCATCTCTGTACTAACAATGTATGCTGTAGAACTCAGAACAATAGTTTATATATCCTTTGAGTAATGAACTAGTTTCATAGTACCCCCTAGAATATTTTCCTAGGGGGGTAAAAACGCTAAAATTCAGTGTCGTGACCACCCCGTTGAGCTGTCATCTTTTAATATCTTTATCAGCATGAAAAACTGATCCAGAAGAAATAGGTCTGTTGCTTTTTCTAAAAAATGCCTCAAAAACCCTTTCCCTTGAGATATTCTGAAATTGGAACCTGTCTATTCAGTGTATTACAAAGTTTTTGTCAAAATTAAAGTTATTTTTCCAAAAATAATGAAATTGTTCAAAATGTAAATAAAACATAGCATATACATGTAGGCTATAGGCCTATTGTAGAATAAACTCATCAACAACATGTATTGTTTTCTGACTAAGTATTAAGTGTTCAATATAGTGGACTGAACAATGAAAATCCCCCCCCCCCCCCGACCAACAATATCCTCGAAATTTGAACACCTGCCAATTTGAACGCTTTTGGCTGGTCCCATGGGTGTTCGGATTAGACAGGTTTTACTGTATGTCATTGTAATGACATCAGATAGTCAATAGAAAAATAAAATAAAAGATACATATATATTAGTCCAATTATACCCCATACCAAGGCTGATTAATTGAAAATGACTACAAAATATTTTGTAGAATTGCGGGTTAATTATAATTGTATAGGTGATCATCTCTGACGATTTTGTTGTGGGTTTGCCATAGCAGAGCTTTTATAATTATGTTTGAATTATCAAAACAAAAAAAGCAGAGTAGTTATCATAATTATGTAGATAGTCATCGTTCAAATTTATTTGTTGGTGTGCCTCATTTTTATCATGCCACCACCAAGAAATAGTGACATTTTGTTATAGTTATCATTTCTGTATCTGGCAATTAGCATCTGTAACAATTGTCGCATTTTATATTATCTACTAAGTTCAGTGTTCTAACTTTCATTAGTGTCTGAGATATGGCTCTTTTTGCATTATTTGTTCATCACCCCTTGTAGAATCATTTGCAGGTGGTTATTACATTTTGTCATGTTAATGTCTTGTTATTGTTGCATCACCACAACAGTGAATGCTACCTCGCTCCTTGACATGAGAATTTTTATATAAAGTATCCTTATATGAAATTTAAGATCAAGTATCCCCAGTGAAACATGTCAGATTTTTCCTAAAAAGTTTAGTGCAACCAGATTCAATGTCAAATCAATCTAGAACATTTAGCTTAGCAGGAGTTCTCAGCTTTGGTTGCATTTAACACATGCTTAACCAATGCATTGTATGAATAATACAGCGTCATTGTAGTTCCATAGTTGTCATAATAACGTGACAATTACTCTAATTATTCTCTTTCTTTATATATTGCAGAAAAGAACATTCGTCGACTGAATGATATCAGCATAGGGATACGTCGTCTCAAAGCGAAGAATGAAAATTTAGGAGAATTGGTGAGTAATTAATTGTTTCAAATATATCAAGTTTTGCATGAATCCTCTGCAACTCTTAAATCTGTTTTTCCAGCCAGTCTATGATCGAGAGAAAATTGGGAGGGAGAGGAGGGGGGGGGGGCAACAGGATAGTGTTATAGGTTCAGAACTGATGAAATAGGTACAGGAAATTAAACCTTTCAAATCACCTAATTCAAAAATGTTACTTCATTTTGGACATCTAAGTCAAAGTTATGCCTCATCACATTTGATCTATGGCAACCATATGGAGGCCGGAGCTTCCCAAAATCGAGAAAAATATGCAGGACATAATATATAAGGATAAGGACTACGATGGAGATTTTCTATCTTGATTTTGTGAAGCTATAGCCGCCATAAACCCGCTGTAGAGCAAATGTAACTGGAGCTTTATATATGTAGTAATTTGACTACTTAAGTGAAGATTAATTTTTTGATTCAATTGTGAAAAATGTTCATGTGTCTTTTTTCCAAATTGTTGATATGTTTGTTATTTGCTTATGATAGATTTAAGTTATAATATAGCCATAATCAAGGGAAAATTAGGAAATCAGAATATAATCTACAAAAACTCTATAATCTCATGATGTATCTTCCAGAAGTTAATTCATAATTACTTGAGGCATTTAGTGAACATTCCTTAAATTAGTAGTTTTGAAGAATCAACATATCCATAAATATTCTCTCACATTCCACAGTGAGCCAGCCACTTTGGTACTCAATAAAAATCTTCATCGTTTCGATTCCCCGTAAAACTCTCCAAAATTATGAAATAATTGTATAAAACTAGTACATGAATCTTTGACATTAGATTTTACCTAGGATATGATTTATGGAGGATGACTTTGAAATAATCGAAATGTTGTCATTATCCACCGAAGAAATGATTTGTAGTAAAGTATGTTGTAATTGGGGTGCACTTCACTGTACCCGGGGTATTTCTTTTATTATTTTACTGGAGGCCATAAACAAGATAATTATGACATCATATGAACCCTACAACGTCAATGTTTACGGTTTTTGACCCCAATGAAGATGTTTTGACAACAAACTAGTCAACATTAAGTTTTTTCCTTGCCTGATTATGAAATTTGAACATATCTGTTTCTAAACAAATACTTTTGACACCGAATCTGATAATGAAATATGATTGATTGTAGAATATTGTTTATTTTTCAACTGATAGATGTCACTCTTGTATGGTGAAAATATCCATAAATACATAAATGAATACATGTATAGCAAAATAGAAAATATAATTTCTGTAATATGTCATCACTAGGAGTGGAGACATATTGTTACAGTCTCCAACTTTTTGTGGACGGTGTTTCACATTCGGCGGTTGGTGTTCAGTGGTGTCAGATGTCTGACTGTTGGTGACAATGTCTACAACAGCAGTGACCAAGTTCCGCGATTGATCTAAGTTCAAAATATTCAGTCCACAATGTTTGGCAGTCTTAGATCATAGATGTGCTTCCTATGCTTAGTTTTAGCTTATTTCAAATCTTCTCAAACTGTAAAAACCTCACGTATATGTAATCAATTACATTTGCATCTATTCTAACCAACATCATGTCAAAACAGTTGCCACGTCTTCTCAAAATACAAATGACTTGAAAGTAATTACTCAAAAGTAGAGATGCATAAAAATGATTTCCGTGTTTCTCTATTGGCTTAAATGAGAAATGTCAGAAAATCGTTTTTTAATGTAGCTCAGATTCGACAATTGCAAGTGAATGATCCATCTCAGATTTACTGACCCCTTTTATCACATGAACTGTTATAGCATTTTCAAGTTTAGAAATACTTTGAGATGATTTTTCAACATGCAATGAGATGAAAGATAGACTTGTCTTGCAAGTCTTGATACTGTAAATTGATTTGAACAATTTCCTAATTTGAGGTTAAATAGTGTAATTAAACAAATATAGATTTTTATATGCATTTTGATAAACCACCAACACATGTGAGTTATTATTGCAGCTTTTTGCCTAATCCCGCATTTTGGTAGTGACTTACTTCCTAAAGTGAACTGTCATCGTAACTGTACAAAAAACTTAAAAGAGAAAATTGTGATTCATACATATAATCTGTTAAAATCTATTATTTTTGTTAACAATGTTCCAGTTAAAAGTTTTAATACATCCGCCAGCAGGAGCTTAACTGTTAGATTGATTTAGTGAGTTGATTTTTATGGTAATAAAATCAAGAGAAGCTCTTACCATTGATTTTAAGACTGTCTGTCTCAATATAACTGGATTAAAAGGATGAAAAAGAACAACAAAATTAGGTCTTGTTAGGCTGTTTATTATGACATAATTTGGATTAATGTATGTCTTAACAGAAGTGGATTATACATGTTTGAATACACAGATTTGACAAGATGATGAATTTTGGACGTAGAATATTCGTGAAAATAAAGCGTAGTGTGAGTATAAATGATTATTTCATACTTCCTTTTGAAATCAAAATCTAAAAAGATTTTAAGACGTAGAAGTATATTCAGACTTAGAGTACTCGCCTGCCTATAGAAAGAAATATTGATTTTTGAAATATGATATTGTAGAAAATATATGTGTCCCTATATACTTTGTATGACATATAGAAGGTCATGCTAGACAAACTTTGTACTATAAATCATTTACTGAAAATAGCGAGCTAATGTGCTCTAAGTAATATTTGATTGTATCTCCTACTCAGACAATGTGACAAAACCCATATATTTACCGTTTATACAATATTTAGTAGAATCAGTTTCCCAGTAAATTATACCATGGTGTTTTTCCACATGTCCTATAAAGACAATATACCACACATCTTTAAGATAATTCAAACTTAATAATTAAGCTGTCACCAAATATGGTGAGTCACAAAGATGGTACATTGACATGTTAATATACAATAACATATTTACAGGAATTCCTCTTCCTTATTCTTAACATTGTTAATAACAATTTTTAAAATTCATTTATCATTTTTCACTTAAATTTCAGTAATTTTTATCTATGATATTTTATAGAATCAAACCCCAGTTTCTTTAAATGTTAATCTTCTATATAAGGGTACCCTCATGTTGGTCATGCAATATTTAAACTTTTAATTTTTAATTATATACATCTACTATACATGTATTTTACTGATCAGAAAGTGATTCATGTGTGTTGTATGTCCTTCCTATAGTTTCATGCTAGAAAATATGCCATATACAGTATATAATTGTACAGGTATACCTGTATATAATTTAATTTAAACACCTTCATATACAGTGAAACTTGTCTTGGTAAACACAAAAAATGATGACTGTTACTATTTAGAAATCTCCTTAATCCAAAAAGGTCTGTATTTATTCTTATATACCCCTACTAAAAACCAAAAGTGTAGGGGGAGTGGGGAATCAGGGACATTAAATGCAAAACTATGAATAAAGGAAAGGCTCCAAGTATGTTCACATGAGGTAGTGTTACTGTCCTTCACATGAGCTAGCTCACCTTAGCAGGTGAAATTCCAGCATCTATCATACTGAGTTCATAAGATCATTTAATGTAATTTATTTTCATGCATGGCCTTGATTTGACTATTATACAGTTAACATTTAATAATGCAATATTTAGTTGCCAATCAACCAAGTGATACAAAGTGCATGTATATGTAGTTTAAAAATATCTAATTTGAGATCTCAAAATATATTGTAGTGTTTTTGTATGTGACCAAGATTATTATTGGTTATGTCCTTTCAGTATTATGGGCTTAATGTCCTTTCAGCATAATGGGCTGTCCTTTCAGTGTTATAGACTATGTCCTTTCACTTTTATGGGCTATCTCTGATCAGTATTATGAACTATGTCTGATCAGTAGTACTCAGTGTATTACTCTCCTGTTTGGTGACATCTCATTAAATGATTCTATTAAATGTCTAGTATTTAAATCCTTCACTGATTTTCTTTGTAAGATAATAGAAATTGTCTTAAATAACACGTATTTATGATGAGACAAAAACAATCAGTTCATTTCTCCAAACAGGAGAGCCATCTTTTATCTAAATTCAAATGCTGTTACCCACAGGGCCAATAATGCTTTGGCTTAGGCCCTGCTTATGCTGTATATTAATATTGTTTAAATAAAGGAACCATAAAAACTAAAAAAAACTAACTAAATCAGTATTATGGGCTATGTCTGTTCAGTATTATGGGCTATGTCTGATTAGTATTATGGACTATGTCCTTTCAGTATTACGGCATATGTCATTTCAGTATTATGGGCTATGTCCTTTCAGTATTACTGCATATGGTAATGAACATCAAGTTATGGTTTTAAAAATACTGCTCAGTCAATTAATTTATTTTCACCTTGGCTTAAATCAATAGTTATTTTGTTCTAGTTTGATTGAATCTAAATATTGATTCATTTCTGTATTTGAAGTCTTTGTTATTGAAATTTATTGTTGGAAACAGTTTAATTAAATGTCAATGCAACTTTGTAAAAGCACTAGAGTCTAATTCAATGTTGCTGTGCATCAATCAAATCTTAATAATAAAATTTTGATAATGGATGCAATTGTCTCTTTATTTGGTGAGTGTATCAAAATTTAAGCTTTATAATTATAAATCTTTCCAAAAATATAGATATTAATTAAAACTGTCAGTGTGAAGACTGTCAGTACCAATGGCAGATTATTCTTTTGTAAACTTTGATTTGATCATTTGAAGCACCCTTTAACTATAAATGTGGAATAAAAGATAACCAATCACAAAAACATCATATAATGATCAGGATATCCTCTATATATGCTACTATGCTTTGATCTTACTTTCAGCCAACTATATACATGTTGTATTGCTGAAAATATTCAAAAATAGAGGAAGGTTTGTGAAGAAATGAGGAAAATTATGACACGAATGATGATTGAATGATTATTTGTTCTATACATACTCGTATAACATTATTTTTTGCAATGCTTCAATTTGTGAAATCCTCAGATCATTTGAACTCTAAATAATTTAATTTCATAGCAGGAAATTGAATGAAGAATGTCTACTTCATATTTGTATGTCCTTGTGTGTGATTAGAGTATTGGAGATCAGATATATGTTATTGGCCAAAGAAGATGTTATCTGATACATGTCACTAACATCTGATGGCCTGACACTGACAGTGACCTCTAATAATAGAACTCTTCTGATTGAGTACAAAGTACAGTAAAACTGTATGTAGAACATCTTTGGTACCTCTAACTATTTTACTTTCGTTTGGGAGGGGTGTTCCACTTACAATTCACAGGTTTTAATGTATGTGAATGTCCTCTCTTGAAAGAAATCACCAAAACCTTGAAAGAAATCACCAGATCCTGCAACTATATTAATTGACCCCCCCCCCCCTATTTAATCTTTTTCCTTAGACAACATTGATATAGTACAAAGTATATCTAAATGCCTTCAAACAGATATTGAAAAAAAGCAATAGGGCAAGGCGTGGTTATAGAGAGAAGAAGGTAGTAAGGATGGGCTAGGATAGGCTAGGATGGGCTAGGATAGGTATTAATTGATGCAAGACTACTGAAGGTTATGAAACAAGTTATCTAAGAGACATGCTTGATGCAACTCCTGATTAGTCATATTAAGTTGATGGCACATTCTTAATATTTGAGTGCCAATAAAAAGAGCAAACTAGCACTACTATATCTAGTAAGTATAAATCAAACCAAATGTTCAACCCTTTCCATCATTAGGATTTTGTGATTATCATGAATCTAAAAAAGGGAAAACTTGCATGGGTAAAGCTCTCTTTTGTGAATTGAGCCTCTCTAAATAAAAGAGAACAGCTCTAATATGAATGTCTTAATGATATGAAAGCTATTCCAAAATGAGTCTCTATAAGCTCAATTCTTTCTAAATGAACCTATACATTATATCGGTCTCATTTTTACATAATGTGATTTTTTGTAAGGTGAACACTTTTCTAGAAACACATCTCCAAACTGAACACCTCCAAAACTTCCATTCTGTAAATTTTCCTCTTTTTATAAGTGATTGACTTCTTTTCATGATTAAGGCAAAGTAATTCTTTTTGAACTCTTTATTCAAAATTAAGGTGTTGCCCTTTGGCTTTTGTTGCAGTCTAATATCTCACTTCCATCTTAAGGGTTTTTGATTAGCCAGTGGATAGGCATCGTGAGAGATGACAGCCTTCTATTAATTTTTAGCAAGGCAGAGATGGTCTAAATATCAGATTGGTATATCTGGATTGGTAAATCTAGTGTATCCTGACATTTTCTGCAATACATTGATATCAAGGCATTGGCCCTGGAGTCATTCTGACTGTTATAATCCAAGTGATTAATGTAACAATAGATAAATGGAAGAAAAATATATTAACTGTGAAGTCAAATGAATATCCTCGAATCTTCATTAATTGACCTTTTGCTTTTTGTCTCCAGAAATTTGTTTTTGGATTTTTACTCAGCAAGACAGCAAGGAATGACGTAATATAACATGGGACTATGTGTTTATTACGCACTTTTGAAATTGATTCTTTTATTGCTATTTAGTTTAATAAATTGCTTCTTTATAGTTTGGCATTTAAGAACCTATATTCCTTAATTCAATTTCTGTTCAATGTGTTTATTTCAACTTCAATTTCAAGAGCATTCATCAACATCTTGCCATTCCAATTTCAACTGGTTGTAGGAAATCTACTAATAGGCGAGAAATTAGGACTCGTATATTGGGTGTTGAGAAGTGAAAAATTACATTTTCTACAATTTTTATCTCATTTATCTAGAGATTGTCTCATTGCAATCTTGATTCATTTATGTATTATAAGAACCCTGGTTTTAAATCAAGAGACGTATTACGGTAAAACTGTCAAATCAGAACACTACTGCGGTGGACCTAAAGTGTTCATATTGGCAGGTGTTCACATTTCACAACATGGATGTATATCGGACTGAAAAGCTTTCACAGTGAGAGGTGTTCAGATTAAAGATGTGTTCATTGCATATAGGTTTACTTTACTTTATTTTGTACTCCGATGATTGGAAGTACTTTCGCTTTAAAGATACAGTCCTACTTATTATTCATCTTTTGTATAACTACCCTTATCATTTATTTTTGGTAATTTCTTAAAGACATTTCACTATTCTTTGATAATATGATTGTGATATCCTCAGCCTTTTGTTATCTTCTTAGTATTTGACAAAAAAGCAGTCGTGTAATTTTTGCCATTTTCAGTTTAGTTGATTTGAATACATACACTGGTTCACTTGGGGTCATGCATTAATTAACAAGGATTAATGATGTGTGATGAATATTTATAAAGGTGAATAAAAACAAGGGATCAAAGGCTATTGGAGTTTATGTGTTCTTTGGCTACCCAGCGTGAGCATAGAAAAAATAGCATATATAGAAAATCATCCTTCTGGCAATGACAAGCTCTTGTTAGCTTAGCAAGCTCAGACGTTTCTCTTAAATTCAAAGAATGCAGATTAAGCTATCTTTTAAGAAGCTATGGCAAACAAATGCAAATTGTATTACTCCATAGGCTTCTGATAAACTGAAACAAGTGCAAGTGTATTGTATTGGAATAGTGGCAGGTACTATTCATATTTAAATGAGTTGCCCATAAAATAGTAGGTCACTCCGGTAGCCGACAGCCGAAACTTGATTTCACTTCACGAATACAAGCTAAGAAATTAGATCATGTGTCTCGCGAAACAGAAAGATGCAATGAGTTCCAGAATGTTGCCATGTGAGTTTGACATTTTACATCTCAAAAGCAAGTAAAATCTTTTAGTGCTTCACATAATTTTTTGAAATGGTATTTCCTTTCTTTTTAACTTTGAGAGTGTTTTAGGGTATCCCTAGACCTATTTTCTGCTTCAGTGCATGTCATTTTGACCATAAGAGTGAGGAGGTAATCATCTTTGTTAAAATTAGGTGCAATTGCGTTTCATATTAATAAGACGTGAAAGCAGGAAAGACAGATCCGAATCTTGCAGAATGAACGTTTTTAACCTCATTTCAGACCCTATCGCTTAAACATTTGGAATTCATTTTCCTTTATCTCTCAAAAGGTCTTTTGTTTGTTGACGAGTTGTATTATTTTCACTTTAACTTGACAGAGTGTTGCTTTGACTTTCAGCAAAGGGATATACTTGCATAATCCCTGTTCCTCCAAGATATGAAAGTCATTAAACTTCAGGATATGACAGTTGAATGGATGGAGCAGAATCACGTTCTTTCTGACCTGTTTTTTATTTTCGAGAGCATTTTGACATCGTAAACCATTCTATAATAACGATAGCTATCAATAATTAAAATAGTTTAATAGAATTCTTGCTCAGCATTAACACCTCATTATATTAGTTGATTAGTACACAGCAATAAAATAAAACCATGTTTGAGAATTTAGTGTAATATTTGAGCCAGGGGAGCAGTTGAACACAGCAATGGTGCCAATAACAGGAGGATAATGTTCGTCAATTCTCATATATTTACATAGATTCAAGGCGTTAGCTAGCGGTGTTGAATTTCAAGGTCAGCATGTTCACACTCAAAGGAGCAAATTATTAGATGCAGATGGAGAAATTCAGGGAACTCTATGATCGACAGTTATTTTAGTGTGTCACTTATATGTTGATGTTCAGTTATATTTATAATTTCAACAACTCTGTGGACTGTTGTGATATTTGTCATGTACGAGCCATCTTTTATGATGTCACGATCAGTTGGTAAATCCAGGACATATTTTAGGATTTGTTTTTCCATTTCCAAATACTTAAGTGATTTCCTTTTATAATAAATGGATATTTGAATTTTGTGCTTTCAGGAGGATCGAAAGGAGAATTTGTCCCGTTTTAGTGCATCATGTCCCTCATTAGACAAACAGAATCTTCAATCCCAGTCCCGCATTAGAGAGCATGATTCAGGTAGGTCTGGTTGTTATAGCAACAATTTTAGAATCTCTTAAATTCAACTTGGTTGCTATGTGATCTTTCACATGAACTCCAGCACTGTTGCTATGGAGGGAGCTCATATGATCTCGTGATTCCAAAATTTGTTGCTATGGTATAACTTTTAAATCTTAATTACAAAAAGATGTGAACTGTGACATGTAGAAATTCTAAGATGAATCTGAATACCTCAATCAAAATGAGCTATGGATTTGTTTTGCCAAAAACGTGTCTTTCTTTTAAGAAGATATTTTCTTTGTCTGTAGCGCAAGTCACTGTTTGTTATTAACAATCAAACCCGGAGATAGTTTCGCGCCAAGACAATGTTCATATCTCGACAAACGCACATTGGATTGTCTAGCACTTGATTAAAACCATTTATAAAAACTCTTTGCATTGATAAGGCTCATATCATTGCAATGTTAAGACAGGCCGACTTCTTTTCTTAGCATCTTGACCTTATTAAACGAGATAAAATGACCATAAAAACACCTAACTTGACAACTGTACTTAAAACACAATGTATATCACCAATCGCAATTCGGAGTTCAATACAGAATCATGATGAACTTCTGCGAATTCAATGAGTGTTTTCACATGTTTGGAGAGTTACGAGACTTTCACAAAACTGTATTATATCCATAAATCGGATTAACAATGAGCAGTTTTGGATTCACAAGACGTAGGTCTCTATCTTGGAATCATGGATTAGACAACCATAAACCAAAATTCAAATGGTCTAGGTCATTAAATGACAATTATGGAAGTGAATTTACTTGTCATGAATGCCCCTTTCAAAATTTGGAGAATCATTACAGGATTTGTGCAGGTAAATACAATACTGTTGCCACAGTAAATAAGCTCCATTGCCACGGTAAATCAGCCATATAATATTGATGCCACAGTAGTGCAACACTGTTGCCATGATTTCAGGAATCATTGAGGTTCTCAAAAGTTCTGCTTTACATCGGGTTCAATCTGATCGAAATTGTAACTTTCGTAAATGAACATGAAATGTACGCCGTTGTTTGTTGCCTTGTTTGTGTGTTTATTTGTTTGTTTGATTGTTAAGAGCAATATTAATTTAATATTTTACTGGAAAATGTAAGTTTTGTGCATACCATTTTTAAAGGTTAATATTTTATGAAGTAGATGTAAAAATTCCAACACAAAACCCAGTACAGGTATAAAGGGTAAAAGGGTATTATTTTACATTTAGTTTCAAAAGCCTTTTTAATACACCTCTCTATTTGATAAGCTGAATCGGGGCCCTTCATTATAAGACTTTTGCTGGTTTGTTCGATTAATCAAGCCTGGTTTCTCTAAATTGTGTTTATTATACACACATTCAATTTGGAAGAGACAATAATCCACTGATTGATAAATGCTGTTAGGATGTACTGAAGTATAGGTCCTTATGAGGAAATGTTCAGTTCAAGTTAGTACGTTAAGTGACTGAGCTTGATTATGTCTTTTGTCCTATTCCTGTTGGTATTGATATTGGTATTTTCTGCTTCATCATCGATGTACGCTTGTTCAAAAGCAGTGCAATGACCTGGTAATCTTTATGAGGTCCAGGGTATGACTTAATCTAGATTATTGCTTGGAAGCGTTGTTCCAAGCCAGCTGATTTTAATGTATAAAATTTTAAGAAATAACATAGCCACTGTCTGCAACACAATATTATCATTCTTCATGGTGTATGTAATTAGGTCATTGATCTTCTACCACAAAAAATCAAGCAGTTTGTTTACCCAGAGGCTTGTAGTATTATACCCTCGTACTACCCTTACTTTCCGAATAGAACAGATAAATATACAACATGTATTTCTGTTCTGATTGGTCACCTGGATACATATTCCGATTGAGTATGTGAAATCAAAGGATTATTTACAATTCAGAATGTAGGTAAGGTCTTCTGTGTAAAATCAAAGATTGAAAAGGGTACATATATACACTCCCCTCCATAAGTTTGGCAACCTTTTTCCCCCATTGAACTACGTGTTAAAGCCTCTTTACCTTTGAATTTTTATTTACTTAACCTGCGATCAAAATACTTATACTATTGATGGAAACATAATTTGACTTTAATTCCAATACCTCCAAATTTTCTCAATTTTTTTCCTCAATTACAATAGGTCGAAAATTGATGATGAATTTGATGAATTTTTGAAAATTGACATTCCCATGTTAACCAATGGGAAATGGTAGGTTTGCCGCAAGTCATATGACAGAATATCCATCCATCCGAGTCCTTGCAAAAAATACGAGTTAGGCAGGTAATTGAATTTGCTAACTTTATTTAACAAAAAATTGATATGTTTCTTCAGGTTCAACAAAGTTATAGGGCTTTAAAGTCAAAATTGTTTTTCAAAAAACCTCTCCCATTGAAATAACACAGGAGGCGAAAAATAATTTTCAAAAATGACTTTGAAGCGCTGTAACTTTAATATTCATCAAATAAGCTAAACACTTAGTGTTCAAAAAAGTTAGACAATTCAATTTTCTATATAAAAATATTTTTTGCTGAATCTTTTACTGAAAAGATATCCTGATTTCTGATTTGCCCCGAACCCTCCATTTCCCATTGGATTACATGAGAATGACGATTTTCAAAAATTCATCAAATTTATCATCAATTTTCGACCTATTGTAATTAAGGAAAAAAATCGAGAAAATTTGGAGGAATTGGAAATAAAGTCAAGTTACGTTTCCATCAATATCATAAGTTATTTCATCGTCGGTTAAGTAAATAAAAATTCAAACGTAAAGAGGCTTTAACACGTAGTTCAATGGAGAAAAAAGGTTGCCAAACTTATGGAGGGGAGTGTATATGTTATGCCTGAGCAGGGGTTTCATTAGCACCAGGCAACAGGCGATTTTCACTGGTTGTCTTCACAAAATCGCCTGTTTTTTTTTAGTGACTTTTCAACTTTTCCATGTTAGATTTATGATTTTCATTAATTTTGCCTGTTATTTTCATTTATTTAGCCTGTTGTGATAAACATTTGCTCAGATTCATTGGCCAGTGCCCGACTGATTGAGTACTTTGTTCAAAATTATATCCAGTTTTGAACAAAATACTCAAGCGGCCAGGCCCAAAATCGTAAGAAAATGAATTTGATTGAGTTTGGAGATTAACTAAATCTACGCTTAATCCCTATTGGTTAGCCTCACTTCATAGGTTGAGCTCTTTTAAAGGGTTAATGGAATTTAAAACATTTCTAATAGCCATTTTTTCTTGAAGATTTCGCTTGTTGTTTGTACATGTATATAATTAACCAAGTATACATATAAGGTTAAAATGACTCATTGTATTAATCATTATCTCTTTACGTATGATTAATCATTGTTTTGAAAATAAAAGCTCTTTTATATGACTAATGCAGAATTCAGCCATGTCTCTATTGTTTTCATCTAAACAACTTGATTGCGGGATGCATTTTATTTTTTTATTTTTAAGTGATGTGTGTGGGAACTCCTCCTGCACTCCTGTCTTGAGTCATATCATGTTTTGTAGAAAACACATGTATATACATGCAATGTTCATGTTTTTTAGTAAAATGAAATAAATTATGTAATTTTTATCAACCACTTCAGCTCAATTTAATCGTTTTGCATTACACATTACCTTCACACTTCATTATTGGTTATTAGATGATCATATTTTTCGAAAATGTTTATCAGATCTCTTACATTCCTCAAAATAATTTATTTGTATTTGAATATTCTGACTAATATAGAAGGAAATTTCAACTTTAAATCAGGAAATATTATAAGGAAAGCTCTCCAATGAAATTGAAAGGTAACTATTCAGTAGGTGATTACTTATTACTAATTTTGCTTTAAAGATCATATTTATCAAAAATGTCATATTTGTTTTTGGAATGTGGTAAGTGTTTAAATTGGGTGGCCTGGCATCTACTGTTTGGCATGTACAAAGTCAATGTATCATTTCTAAATGATCAGCATAATAAAAAAAATTATTGATGCTACTGATATATCTTCAAATATCACTAGAAAACATGGGTGATTCATTAATTGGTCAATGTACCAGCATTTGTTTAGCAATACATATATTTGGTGGTTTCATACACTGCAAGATGGATCCAGAGATACCAATGCATTTGTTCTTATGTTCTGTAGGATTTGCTTATACAGAGAGACATCAAGTCATATGCTCCAGTCTTTTATATGAGCTATAGAATCTGCTGTTGCATGGAAAAGATTTTTGGGCCTCTAAACCCCAAAATTAGGCCCACATTTTGAAAAATGAAAGCCCATTTTCTGATAATTTGGGGGGTGGACCCATGCCCTCCCTCTGGATCTGCCAGTGGATAATTCAAACTTTTGTTGTCTGAACCAGGAATTGAACCCATGCACACCAGATGTGCACGCTTAACTACTATGATAGCTTTTTTCGAAATGTTAAGACTTACTTCGACTTTACTCGTGACCAAGTGGGTAATACATGCAGTTGTGGAATTTAGAATTGCTCTTCAAAATAGACTTGAAATTCTTTAAGCTGATAACTGAGGTTACCTCATTTTAGAATATTTTCTGTAAAATTAAATTGTACTGTACTTTGAAAATCAAGAAGTTTGAATTAAACCTTTAAATTGATTGATCTCTCAAGTCTTTTAAATGATAATCTATGGCCAGCAGTTAAAAAAAGTTTAGATTAGAAAGGTATTCAGATATAGAGGTATTACTGTAATGATCGTGAAATGGTAGAATATAGAACAACTTATATACAAGTCTTACACATGTAGATACTCTGTATGTCAGAGATATATACATAAATTCCTCAAAAAGTTAAGAACCAGTCTTGTTCCTCATAGGTTTACATGTTTACCCCATGTATCTTTGTTTGTATCATAGTCTTTGGTTATAATATTTCAATATTTAAGCCTTTTAGCAAACAGGTTACCTTATTTTCAGATAGGGTACAAAGTCCAGTTTATTTTGATATTTTTACATCTTGTAGATTTAAATGTCCTTTTTGAATATCCATGATTTATTCAGGTGATATTTCTATATTTTTCATAAAAAATTATTAGCCCGAAGACTGTTCACCAAACCGAGTCTTGGCCTTTTATGAAATAAGGTGTTAACGTGACAAAACAAAATGTTATCATCTGGTAAGTTATTGCAAATGGCCAAAAAAGTGTTATAATTGTTATAGACAACCATGTTAAAAGAATTGAATCATATTTTTATGATTGTCTCTGGGGTAATAAATAAATAAAGCCTATGCATGAGTACAGAAGTCGATGAACCTCAGAATTAAGCCTGTCACAATATTTCTTGTTGTAAGTAACTAGGGAATTCTAGAGGTTTTCTTTGGTATCAATTACTTCTACTGGTATGGTACATATTAGTAAAACATTTTCACCAAACTGAGTAGAGTAGTAGTAGATGTAGATATGGAGAAGTTATTCTTCTTCTATAATTTAAATACAGGTTGTTAGATCTGATAAGAATTTTAGAGGCTGTTATCTTCTAAGAAAACCTTAAGCATATGAGTTTTAGTCAAGGAGTTTTTAGTTTGGCCATTTAATTTAGAATGACTACCATGTTTCATAAAAGGTTAATTATTAATATCTCAAATACCAGCCTTCAGATTTGGCTCAAATTTTAAAAGCTAATGCTTCATGACAGAAGGACATCTTTACAAAGAAATGTTCAGTTTGCCTTTTTAGAAAAAAATGAATATGTTCCTATCAATTTATATAACGCTTTCGATTCCTGTATAAAAAACATATTCATTAGTTAATGCAAACAGAATAAAATCCTGTCTTAAGGGGACTAAATTCTGACCCTAGATATGTCCCAGTCATGCGATAGTATTGTTGTGTTAGGTCCCTTTTCATCAGTTTTAACATCTGTTGCAAGAGCAAGAGAGCAAGATGATAAAGCTGGTTATAGTGGTTACTTCTAAATCCCCAAGACAATAGGCAGACAGTTAAAATGATAACACACCCCTATACTTGGACTCACACATACAAGGTTTATTCTACAGTCAAAATAAGAATCAATATTTCCAGAAATGAAAAGCTAGAGCATTTTTTTATTTATTTTTTGTTTATTGTTTATGCTTATACAATGGTAGTTCTTTCATGGAAAGACGTATATGTATTTTGTAACCTTGCTATATCTTTGGTGTTCACTTCCAAGCATTGAATTAACAGATTTTGACTGGTTTCTTCAGAAAATGTAAAATGATAATGTTGCATCTGGTTCATAAAAACTTTGGGTTGATCTTGAAGTAGTATATCATATTATTTTAGGTTATTTCACATTATTTTTGGGTATATCACATTATTTTAGAGTATCACATTATTTATTCCTCTACTTCCAGATTACTGCAAGTCTATGTTGGATATTACGCCAGAATGTGACGAAAATGCGACATATCCTGATACGCCACCTATAGACTATAGTTATGGTTCAGTGGGAGATATACGTCACACAAGTTCAGAAGTAAAAATAAAACTAAACGATGTGACTTTAGACAGTTCAGAAGATTACTATGGTAACACAATTAACAATAATAACACCTCTGTGAAATTACGTCAGCGCAGTGTATCACCACCTAGTGATATTGATAAAGATTTCCGACGCCAGAGCTGGTGTGTAAACCAGTCCCGTCGTCAGTTTAAAACGCAGATCTTAGCAGCGCAGGGAAAAAGGTAACCTTTTCAGTAGTATTAAAATATGTTCAAAATGTATATCTTATTGAAAATGAATCAAGCTTGAGCAAGTGCCTATTGGAATCCCTTATTAACCATTTCAATGTGCTGATTGTGGAATTACCTTGTAATGAATTTTCTCCTCTAGGAGACTAGGTTAATTTTCTATTTTATGACTAACTTTCACAATAAGAGACCAGGATTCATTGTATAGCTTCTTTATTATGATAAAATCATGTTTAAACCTATGGTTGGGCATTTTTTACCACTGAAGGAAAATATAACAGGTAGTCTGTCAGTTATATCAAATCATGGTTGATTATGAACGGTTAATTCATAGTTTACAATGGATGTAGTCAATGTGGTATTAACCCTGAGGTCCAGAAGCTTGTAGTAATTAGAAGAAACTCTGAGCCAACATCAAACTCCTCAAAAGGTCATGTGGTGGCTACAATTTTGTAGTTATTCATAGCTAAATAATGCATTACAATCTAACCTCCACATGCAAGTGATCAATTTTCAAAATTAAGTCTTCTACTTATGTGCCAAGGAAAAGCTACTATTTGTCTTTTTTATTGTAATGTAGAGACATAGGCTGATCAATCTTAATTTTAACAGGCCTGAGAGACCCAATTGGCCAGAATCAGTGTTGAACTTGTTTAGTCTGACACTTTGTCCTGAAAATGGTTTACATTGAAAGTGTTACATAATTCATTTATATGTAAATGGTTCTATTTCATGGGTACTAACCATACTTCATGGTACGATAAGCTAGCTTGGTGATATTGCAGATACGGGTCTCGGGGTGTCTTGAATTTTGGTCAATACCCATGTTTTACCTAATTGGCTCTGTATTCTTGAGCCAGGTCACTGTATCTTAAATTCTGGTTAGTACACTTGTCTTACCTAATTGGCTCTGTATTCTTGATCCAAAAATGGTCACTGTATCTTAAATTCTGGTTAGTACACTTGTCTTACCTTATTGGCTCTGTATTCTTGAGTCTGAAATGCTCGCTATATGTTAAATTCTGGGAAGTACCAATATTTTACCAAATTAGCTATATCTTCTTGGGCTTGTATACTGGACTTCCAATGCGGGTTGACTAGCTGTCTATTCCCATAGATAACCGAAGTGCTCGCTATATGTTAAATTCTGGGAAGTACCAATATTTTACCAAATTAGCTATATCTTCTTGGGCTTGTATACTGGACTTCCAATGCGGGTTGACTAGCTGTCTATTCCCATACATAACCGAAGTGCACAATTTAACAGACAGTAAATTAATTAACTGACAGAATATTGAAGTAACTGTATTATAGAATGTATGTTTGACTTCTCACCAATATGTCTCATTTGGGAATTGGCCCTTTGAAATGATTCCTGCATTATACATAGAACCTAGAGATAAGGGACTCTTCTTGTTAAGCATTTCTGACTGTTTTGATTGATGCAATAATTAAGGATTGCAGCACAGACAATTGGTTTAATCTTTGTATCCAGCTAAAGCCAGACATTTCTATTTCACATTAATTGAATCTACATTTCATGAAACATTGTGGTTTTGTCAAATGCTCTGTAAATTACCATGGGCTCTTTCTCGAAAGCCTATTATATAACTATATTCACATGATTTTTTAACTTTTGTTTTATTTTTTTATTAAGTACATTTACATCCCCGAGAGTCTGATACATTTTTAAAAAAGAAGAAATATATATCATAAAATCATGCTATATGTTATTATCAAATAAATGAGACGCTGATCATTATGTTCAGTATGTATTTATATTCATGCAACATGTGGTTGTCATAGTTATTATATTGACCAATTAGCTGATAGCATAACCTTCACTTCCAGTTTGAGCCTCAGTAGTCTGGATGGTCCTGGAAATCAGAATGAGGTGAATGAGGAATATGAGACTGATGACACGGAGTCACCACGCTCTGGGCCAACTGTGCCATCCCGTGTGACACGCTCTAATACTCTAGGGACTATGTCCACTGTGCTAGAAGCTATAGGACAAACTTCAGGTAATGCTCGAAATGAGGACAATATAGAGAAATTATTAGATCGTAATACCTGCAGCAGTGATCATTGAACATCTATATATGACCTTGTGCATTGAATTTTATTTTTTGGAACTGTATATGTAACTTTGTACATTGAACCATGTGCTTTGGACTTAATCAGTGTACATAACAACATTGGCATTTGTGCACATGTACATTGAACATCTATTTTGTATATGTAACTTTGTGCAATGAATCATGTGCTTTGAACTTGAACATTGAACATCACAACATTGACATTTGTGGACATGTACATTGAACATCTATTTTGTATATGTAACTTTGTGCAATGAACCATGTGCTTTGAACTTGAACATAGCAACATTGACATTTGTGCACATGTACATTGAACATCTATTTTGTATATGTAACTTTGTGCAATGAACCATGTGCTTTGTACTTGAACATTGAACATATCAACATCAACATTTGTGCTCCAAATCAAGTCTTTGAACCAGTGCCATTTGATAACATGTATTATTATACAATCTGTTTAATTCTGCTGAAAATTACAAAGTTCCCCTGGGCCAGCTTCACTTGATATCGTATTGAAAATTGTGTAAGAATGATTTAATGCGTAGACATGCCGCCCCTTGTAACATAAGCCATCGATTTTCGCAGATATTGAATGTAGGATTTGATTAAAGACAACAAATAAGTACGTATCTGGGTGGGTTTATTTTCACTCAAAGGAATTCTCAAATTTTGGTCGTTATGTCAAGTTAGACGGATATCTTCTCAAAATTATTTTTGTTTTGTTCCCCCTTAATTGTTATTCTGTATATTATCTGGCAGTAGATTTCTCAATGTAGAAGGACATTACTCAATGCCAGTGTCATTGTCCTATCTCTAAATGTATTAATCAATTTACGAATTAATGGCGGTATTTCGCTTCTTTACCTCATACACCTCAAAAAGATAACTACGGGCGTATAAACGAATTCTGTTAGATGCTCATGTAATTAAATATCATTCTTACAGATGGACACGTTGACATTTAAAATATAACAAGAAACAATTTAAGATTATATTTAGAACTGTAAAGTCTTGTTTTTTTTCTAATAGTGTGTATTTTTAAATTTTACTGTTTACAGGTCATAGCAGCCCAGAGACAGAAATGGTTCAACACTACAGTCACCTCAGTACACATAGCGGTACACATAGCAGTACTCATAATACACCCCCCAGACCAGTCAGTACAGCCTCAGTGAGATCACTTACTGATGTACGTTTCGACTTTAATAGCTCAAGTGAACATGAGGTATGGATCCTGAAGTATTCATCTGCTTTATCTGGTTCTAAAGAGCTCAGATTAATATAAGTGAGATAAGGATAAGCCAATCGTTAACAGGATAGGACATCCTACCCACTGTCAATTACAATAATCATTTTCAGTATGTGTTTTGATTTGTTTGTTATTAATTGTTATGTCATGAATGCAAATCTTTCAAGAAAACTTAATTACATCTGACTAATTGTTCTCAAATATGGACTGACACAACTGATTTTGGAGATAATAGAAATGTATCTGTGTCATGTTGCTGTTGACCTAAACCTCATCAGATCTTTTGTAAGATCCAAACTTGCAAAATTTGAATATCAGTTCTAAGCAACATCTCTGGATATATCAAATCTGTAATTGATCATCTAACAAGCCAGTAGAGGCCTATCATTCGCCGTGGGTAAAGCCACATTCAGAAATACTCGGACACCTGCACAACGCCTCAGAGGCTGTCCTAAACAGCAAAGTACGCTGACCAGAGGCCAGTCGAATTGTGCAGCTTATTCGTCAATTTTGTTTTTTGGGTTGGATGACAAAACTTGGAACCTCTCTATAGGGAACACATGTCTATAAGGAACACTTTTCGCCCGTCCTGGAGAGTGTTCCTTGTCAATTTTGTCATTTGGGTTGGACAAAACTTGGAACCTCTCAATATGGAACACCTGTCTACAAAGAATAGTTTTCTCCAGTCTGGAGAGTGTTCCTTGGTTTTACTGTATGTTTTAGTAAATGCAAGCAATAACCATTTTATTTTGCACCATTTCAGACCAGTATCACCTCTCCCCAAAGCCAAAGTGATTCTCCAGTCAATGCAAATGGAACTATGCTGAACGTGCCAAACAATATGACAAAATCAAAGTCAACGCCATCTATACCAAATGCAGAAAACAAAGAAAATCGTAAGTAAAGGTTCAATAATGTATGTTTGAAATGTAACAAAGTATTATGCTGACATTTTCATAATTAGTTCCAAATTATTGCATTTAATTTATTCATTTTTCACATCTAAAGATATTGTATTTGAAACACTGAATTGTAGCCATTCTCCATTATGTTCACTGCTAAACCACCCACCCAAGTTAGACATTTTGGAACTCTGGAAAAAATTGTTTTCACACCTTTTTGTTAAGCAAACCCCCATTAAGCACCCACTTACTAAATAAAAGGAGCTATTTGTAGAACTGGGTGAGAAATGCTATATAGAAGCAACACATTAGCAGCAATAAATATTCCTTATTTGGATGTAATAGACTTTTCCGATAAACTCCACCATCTTTTGTTCCACCAAGAAAGCTAAGATATAATGGCTAGATTCATGATTTGTAATAAAGTATATATTCTATACAAACAAAATAAATTGACAAATAAATAAATTCTGTTTGGAAACTTTTACTATCATCATAGCCAGTATTTCTTTATGTCATCATTTTTTATATAACCATGTGATGTGATACTATATACTTATTATAGTATAGATTGCAGTGTAATATTGCATCATAACCATTGTTTTCTGGCCTTCAATTGAAACTCATTTTGATGTAATAATCTAGGCACACAGTTTCCTAATGATATGAGATTTTATAACAACTCTTAATATCTGGAGTTGTTGCAGTTATTTCATATTATTAAGTTGATAATGCAAAACGCTTTTGTAACTTTTAAACATACCAATTAAATAATTCACTATTATTACTATTATTGCATTGAAATATTTTTGAATTAGAATAAAAATTTCAAGACTTATGGGACAACCCTAGTTCAAATTGTTTTATTTGATTCTTTCAGGTAATGGCCATAATAGCTCCAGTGAAGTAGCAACACAAGAGAAAAGGTAATACATGGTTTAATACAAAAACCAATGTGTGGGGCACTATGTATAAATTGATGTCTAGCTGCACATATTTCATAACACTTTGTCGCTCAGTTGTATAAGTTGTTGTTCAGTATTGTTGTTGTTAATGATGATGTAAATGTTCAGCTTATATGTGTTTGTAATTTCATCAGTGTTTTTCTGACCTTCATTTTAAATTTTCTCTGCACATAATTCCTAATATGAGATTTCATTACAGCTGTTGATAACAATAATAACTTCTTGTTTACATGCATTCGAATAAAATCCATGGAGAATACCCCCTAGGCCCATAAAAAGTATTATCCGCATACCAGTAAATTCTGTTATGTACCACAAAGTTTTTAAGTAAAACTAAGTTTATGAAATGTAGCTCCAGATTTAGTTGTCCCTGTATTCTGCTGCACCTACCCACTGAAAGTTTACCCGCTTTGTGAGTCGATCAATTATGAGGCATTCATCTCTTTATGAGAATGTTTCCCCTGTCTACCCCCCTCCCCCCCTGTCTAACCCCCTCTCCACATTTACCCAATTAAGTCTCAGTCACATTTGCTCTACGGCAGCCATAGTTTCACAAAAATGAAATAGAAAATTGACATTGTACTGCTTATCTCTATATTTTATGCTGTATACTTCTCTCGAATTTTGAAATCTACAGCCGCCTTGGGGTTGCTGTAGATTAAATGTGACTGAGGCATTACATCTGTCTTTCCACATTTTGTGTCTGTTGGCTCAATACATTTATTGTTAATGTTGCTTAGCCTGATTTTGTTGTATGTGGTTGGGTTTAGGTTCTTATACCATGCATTATATCTTCCCACTCATAATTTCTGATCGATTACCATTTAGATGAAACAGGCGACAAAGGAGTTTTTTTTAAATTTTTATTATTACCAGGGCATCTGGGTACAAACCTCACTTTTCTAATTACTGAGCGCCATCTATCTGTCACTTTCAGCGTTACACCTGCCAGATCTCATATCCAAATCCAAAAACTTATAGCAGACCACGAGTGAGTCATCCATGTTACAGTTTGCATTTTTGTGATTTTCGCTCGATCTTTGCTTTTTTAAACCATGATGAATAACTCTATGCTTAGAATTATTTTACAAAGAATCATGTTTGGTTTGACTTTCTCCTTAATGTGTCTTTCATATTAATTTTTTGATTAATCAAAAAGGTTGTCAAATTTTAATTGTTCATTTGCATGTACAACCTTACTGTTAGTAAAATGATTATCTGGTGCTATGAAAATCCAAGACATGTTTATAGATAAATAAGTGCATGAGGAGTGGTTTGTTAAGCAAATGTTGATTTATTAAATTATCATTTTTGATCCTTAATAATTTCAAGCAGCTGAGACACCCTGGGTATAGTCTGTCACGTGACTTCATGGATGACGTGTGCGCGAGTGATTCGCATTTTCTTTCGCTTGAGGTTTGTAATCACACTTTTTACATGTTTTAAGATTTTGTATCTCTGTGAAACTTGTCCCGTACCATCAATGTCTGAAGACGATCTAATTCACCAAATATCTCATCCAAGCGTGTCCCGGTTAAAGAGAAATTCGCACTTTTGTGTCTCGCAAAATGACGTGTGCGCGAGTAAATCGAATTTTACGAAGGATGGGTGCGCGAGTCTAAAATATTTTTATTCACTTGAGACAATTCTGCAAGCTAAGGCAGAATACAACTCACGTGACATTTGTTTTTGTCATCTTAAAGTAGTATGTTAAAGAATAGTTTGCTATTTTGTAGATGTTTCATGTATGGCACATACATGTCTACGTTTAATGACAATAAATGTTTTGAAATAGCTTGTAGGGCTGTCCGGCATTGCAGGTGAATTAAAATTTGAACCAAAAATTGAATTAAATTTTTGGCGGTCTCATAAAACCGGCAGCATATTCATTTATTGACATCCCATACAAGGGGGGGGGGGGTCAGAGTTGTTATGTGGTTACTCGGCATCCGCCACGATCAGAACCATGTAAGGAATAGTAAGGGGAAGCCCATGATACCAAGTAATATCAAATAATTATAGGAGCTTCTAACTTCTTCCGCATCCCCACCCTTGGTATACGCAGCTGACAAAATGGATCGGTACGGGTCAAAAGCTGGACCGGTACGGGTTAACGGTTTTATTTGAATTTAAAACAGCTATAACTTGCTCAATATTGACTTCTTCGTATCTAAGTTGAAATATATGATCCCTCCGAATGATTTTAAGTACCCCCAAAGTTCACCCGTACAAGTCCAGCTTTTGACCCATACCGGTCCATTTCGTCATCTGCGTATACCAAGGGTGGGGATGCGGAAGAAGTTAGAAGCTCCTATAATTATTTGATATATATAGGTTATTTACTGGGAGGGATTGAATATGGGTTTTATTCCGAGGGACAATATGATATTGACCGAAGGGTAATATGATATTGACCGAGGGAGCGCAGCGACCGAGTGTCAATATCATATTTCCCAAGGTCAATATCATATTTTCCGAGGAATAAAACCCATATTCAATCCCGACCAGAAATAACCTATTTATTCCATATTACATTCCTCCTTAAAATGTTACATTTGGATAATGCTTTTATCAATTAGTCAGGGTTAAAAATAACCGGGAAAACCAAAAATAGGTTAATACGTTCCAATACGATTTTTGTCCCGGGGACAATACGATTTTTCCATGTAATACGCTCCAATACGATTTTTTTCCCGGGGACAATACGATTTTTTCATGTAATACGATTCAATACGATTTTTATTCCTTCATATTTCCCTGGGAAAACAGTAGTATTATGGAATAATACTTGGTATCATGGGCTTCCCCTTACTATTCCTTACATGGTTCTGATCGTGGCGGATGCCGAGTAACCACATAACAACTCTGACCCCCCCCCCTTTGTATGGGATGTCAATAAATGAATATGCTGCCGGTTTTATGAGACCGCCAAAAATTTAATTCAATTTTTGGTTCAAATTTTAATTCACCTGCAATGCCGGACAGCCCTACAAGCTATTTCAAAACATTTATTGTCATTAAACGTAGACATGTATGTGCCATACATGAAACATCTACAAAATAGCAAACTATTCTTTAACATACTACTTTATGATGACAAAAACAAATGTCACGTGAGTTGTATTCTGCCTTAGCTTGCAGAATTGTCTCAAGTGAATAAAAATATTTTAGACTCGCGCACCCATCCTTCGTAAAATTCGATTTACTCGCGCACACGTCATTTTGCGAGACACAAAAGTGCGAATTTCTCTTTAACCGGGACACGCTTGGATGAGATATTTGGTGAATTAGATCGTCTTCAGACATTGATGGTACGGGATAAGTTTCACAGAGATACAAAATCTTAAAACATGTAAAAAGTGTGATTACAAACCTCAAGCGAAAGAAAATGCGAATCACTCGCGCACACGTCATCCATGAAGTCACGTGACAGACTATACCCAGGGTGTGAGAGGATTTGGCATAAACATACTAATTCTACAATGCTGTAGTTTAACATACAGCCCCTAAAAGTATCCTTAACTTCAGGCAATTCATTCATCTAGAGCGAATATTACTTAACTTTGCATCAGACTGTGTTGGATTGTATACATGCTTGTACATGAAACATGTGTATGCAATATTTGCGTAAAACACAGTGCTGTAATTAAGAAATGGTGTTGGGGATAAATTGCATGTGGCTTTATGTGACAGTCTCGCATCAGTCCCCTGGATTCCCCATCTCAGCACTGAAAAAGTTTATGCTGGGCTGGGGCAGGGTATCATCAATAATGAAGATTCATAAGTTAGGAATTGAAGCTTAATTTTTTGTTTTCTATTTTGCAAGGTGATTTCAAGGCTAATTAACTTAGTTCTGTCATGTGTAGTACATTGATAACAGTAAAGTATAATCATCTTCACTATTTAACTTGAGCTATTAGATTTAAATTAGTGTAAACATACGAGGACTAACCAAAATGTTTTGTCCTGTTTTCAGTGCTCAGTTGCAAGAGAATGCTGCCTGGGTGAATGAGGATCATGGTATAAATAACTATCTTCACAATGAGGCTACTCAGAAGAAACCCTGCTTGTCTATGATTGAGTTCCTCAATGAGTAAGTTTTTCACTAAATTTCTTGAATGACTCTCGTATTCTGAGATCAATATATTCCAAGAACCACAGGATGAAATTTGAAATATTACTTGGAATATGTTGATTTCACTACTTCACTAATGCCTCAGTCACATTTGATCTATGGCAACAGTATGGTGGTCATAGCTTCCCAAATTCGAGAGAAATAAACAGCATGAATAAAGGGATTAGCAGTACGATGTCGATTTTGTGAAGCTACGGCCTCCATACGCCGGCCGTAGAACAAATACGAGTGAGGCTTTTCTTAGATTATAGTGATATTTGAATCCCCTGTTATTGTTATTTCAAAGCACATGTTGTTGTTGTGTAGTTCTGGCACTATTGGAAAATAACCAAAGAAATCCCCTTTGATTAGAAATATTTTCATAAAAATAAAGATGAAAGAGTTCCTTTCTGAAATGTACAAAGAAGATATATTTTTTTGAATGATATGATGTTGAGTTTTCCAAACATTGAACTTCTAATTTATTTAGTTTATAAGTTTAAATTGAATGACTGAACATTTAAATTATACATTTCAAATCAGGAATTTCTTATTCTATTCTTGGATTAAAATTGTATATTATTTATTTACTGTGTTGCCATTATTTTTAATCCAAGAATACTATGTTATGTTTAATTGTTCGCGTTCCATGTTATTCTCTTGCAATGAGTTAATGTTAAAGGTGTGACATAGTTAGTGTAGGTGTGACAAGATTTGTTATATTTGGTATGACATGAGTTAGAATTTTGAAGCTTTTTTGCATGAGGAATCGTGGTCCTGTTAATGTTTTGATACATCATTCGCTTTGGATTTGGAGAGAATTTTGTACTAACATGATCGCATTTACAGTGTGTGCTTTAATATTAACCTTCCACTCCTAGAAATGTATAGTGTTGTCTACAAGGATATGGCTGGGTGCTTATTACCCATTTTTTTTATTCCTGGATAGGGTACAGTGTTTTGCTTTGAAGAGATATCTGAATAAGATACAAAAGTAGTGTTTTCTCATCATACATAGGATTTTCGCCTAATGTTTGACATTTTTAGTCAGTTTTTTCTTTAAGAAATGTTCTTAATGCTTTAAATGTAACCGGATGTATACATGCATACTGTAGTTAGTTAGAAGTGTGTAACACTTGCTTACATAGAGGGTGTGACATACAATGTTACATGCAATAATCCATGGTACTAAGGTCTTTGCTTTGCACTGCATCTCTGTAGGTAAGTAGTGTGTCTAGAATGTTGGTACATGAGTCTGCGTGATAGGATGTTCATTACAGGGTGTCCAAGAAGTGATGCATCTGGCATTTATTTCCTTTGAGGGACACCCTGTAAATTGGATAGAGTGTGAAAGATCAAAAAACATGCATCTTGATGCTGACTGTTTTCTCATTTTTTCTCTAATTTTTAAATTTTCACATTTTTTAAAAAAATGCTCTGGGGAAGTCACCTGAGCATCTTTAATTGCACCAACCTGTACTGAATTCTATTGAATTCTCCTGAATTCTGTTCTTATTCACACTAAATTTTCTGTTTGAAATTCATTTTACCAAAACGAAAATCTCATCTCTCTACATCATTTTTTCTCATTTTCCTATAAGCATGAGCTTATATCTCAAATTGCATATTTGTCGCTTTAGTATGTGAATCTCCGCATCTGCTTATAACATGTGTCAGTGTGATTGGATTGTGTGTCTGGAACGTTACACCAAGGTGGCAGTATTTGCAATTACATTGGGAACTATCGAGATTAAAATAAAAAATGTAGGAGCTCTCACTAAACTACTTTCACTTCCTTAACCTAAACTTGGTGCAATAGACTTTAAACCTGGTGCCACTAAACACTTTACATATGCTCTCAATTTATTGCGTGCATTCAGTACCCAAGAGAGTTACTTTAATACTGAGATCATGCAATCCTGATTATTCCCATTGTTATTTTGAATACTGATAGCTTGTAAGGTCTCGTAAATGTGTACCATATGAACGCTGAGTGCATCTTGTGTGCTATTCACAGTTGAGAGAAAGTTGTAAATGAAGTCATATTTACAGAGCAAATTCAGACGAAGGATCCTTAGATACAGTGACGGAACAGGATGAAGTATTTTAGTAAGTTAAACATACAACTAGGTAGCCCCAAATCTGGGGTTCACACTTTTCATATCACGGGCACAAAGTACAAGCATTTTGAAATATTATGATTTCAGACTATCAAATTAGATTTTACTGTAGATTTAAGATTTCATGGCACAATCTATGGTGCAGTCTAACAAACCATTTACTTCAATGCACCCACTCTTAACACGGGGCCCATACATTTAGATAAATATATTTCACATTTATTTTCACATTTCTCTTCTTGCATTAAGTATAATGGGGCAAAATGCTTGTTTTTGAGCACCAGTCAATTTCATTCTAATATGGACATGGGAGATAATTGTTGTACACTAGTAGTCATAATTTAGTCATCATATTGTCACAATTGGAGATATTCATCCATCATATTACATTTCTCATGCATTTGTTTTTCACATAGATGGCGACTATATCATATTTTTAGCTTCCATAGATATTCTCTTAATAGTAAGCTATACGCTTTTGTTTTGGATTCTTATATTTTGATAAAGCCATATATTAAGTTGGTATTGTCATTTTTTTTACTTTTCATAAAACTGAATCATAGACAAAAAACTACATTCATGATTGATCAACCATGCATGTATATTTTACTTATTTGAATTAAACCATTCTAGAATGCATGTGTTTATTTTGAAAAATGATCTCCCAGATTTATGCCACTGGCGATTGGGTCCCTCATGTATGATATGTACTTATAATGATTAATGGCAATAAAATCTCTTGATGAAAAAAAAATCTCCCAGATTTTATACATTAAATCATTAATCAAACCCGATCTATTTTCATTTGGATTTCATTGTAAGGCGTACATACTTTTGATGCAAAACATATGCAATTGAGTTGGAGAATAGATAGTATATCAAGACTGCACTTAATCCACCTGTATATGAATGATATAAGGAACATATGGGTTCAGATTAACTTCCAAAATATGTCTATTAAGTATTTGCATCACTACGCCCTTTCCAAGGTTCATTCTTGTCTTCTTTAATTTAACAAAACTGATTTTACTTGATCTCAGGTCTATTTATACTCACGTGGGAACAAATGGGACCATAAAAAGAGAAATTGGTGGGTCATTTTGTCCTGATTTGCAAATGGAAAATTTAATGTAGTCTTACTGTTGTATATTGCTTGTGTTACTAGCAAGGGGCACTTATCCTTACACCGCAATAATTTTGAGAATTTGCACTAGTATTCAATGATTTCCTGCCATGGATACTATCTGTTTGGTGTCATATTTTTTTGCTTTTGGTCAAGCTTGTTTCCTGGTGTGTATTATGTTATTTGCACTCCTCATTTTCTTTACATCTATATATCACATATACTGGTATATACCATTTTGTGCAATTGTATACAATTTTTGCCAGTCTGTAACATTCCTCTGGTAATGCCTTGGTCACATTTGCTCCGATTTTCACTACAGCGCCCGGCCAATTGAGTATTCTATTCAAAATTGAATACAATATTGAACAAAACACTCAATCGACTGGGCGCCGGCCGATGGATCGGAGCAAATGTGACCCAGGCATTAGAACTTCTGTTTTTTTTGTTGTTATTGTCAGTAATATGTATATGTATTTTGGAAAATTATAATCCTCGGTAGATGTTGTGGTAAGTTCGCTTCTGTGCACATATATTCACAGACAGACCTCCCAGAGTTATTTACATTTTTGAGAAAATGTTCAGAATTATTTATATTATTGAGAAAAGGTTCAGAATTATTTACATTATTGAGAAAATGTTCAGAGTTATTTATTGTTTTGAGACAATGTTTGTGAACCAACTATGTGAATCAATGAAAAAAAATGAAACTTGAAACTGTTATGTTTTTTCATGTTTTCAGTGCTATGTGATCTGGTACACGTACCTAATATCGAGATCAGGCAATTACATCCAGCATTTCTTTATTAAATCATCTAAAAGGTCAACGAGATTTGATCCCTTACATTTCCGCGTTCCTTCATGCCAGAAGTTCAAAACTTTTTATCTCGGGCTAAATATTTATACACCTTAGCCCAAAAACCTGTTGATCTGCACCCAGCTACCACATACTATAGAGATGTTATTCACACTACAGATGCGCATCAATACTTCACCATTTTGCCATAAAAGATCAATGCACTACATGTACTTCATTGAGTCTCATTTCTTCCATTTAGTCAATTGTAGAATTACTTTTCCAGGAATGCATTTATTTTTGTGAATTAAATTTATTGAAAAAAGATTCATGTAATATTCTATGTTTTACAGTAATAACTGTTGAACAGTATTCCATTTGTTTTGTTTTGAAGTTCTTATTGTTTTTTCATAGAAACCTACTGAAATAAACATAAATAAAAATGATGACCAATTACCTAAAAATGCTCAATTCCACCAAATTTATAGCATTTACAAGGTCTTATAGATCAGAATTTCAAAAGTCTGGCAATGTTTTGACTTTTATTCTATAGAATTTCTTGGAAAAGGAACTATTTAATAGAAAGGTACTTGTAATCTGGGCCTTAGTACTCACTCTAGCAATGTTGATATTTTTCTGCTAACCTGTCTGTATAGATCAATCCATCAACTGGAATACATCATCGGGGCCTCATAGAAATTTCACAGGCCTGGAAATGTGTATAAATAGTAATTCATCAATTAAAAAGTCATTTGGTTCAGTTTATACATATCACACTTGGAAGTTTTTTCTTGACTATTTCGAGACAAATATATCCATATTGAGTACCCGGAACTGAATCTTAGCCAAATATAACTGTAGTTATCTCACGTTAAATGATACCATTGCAGATAAATGTTGTATTCTGCAACAACCACCTTGCTTCAATGACTACTGGTGAACAATGTGAATTAGTTGTTGAATTATATGATGGATTTTGTGGTTACAGCCCAGCAAACTTTAGCGGAGAAGACAAAGTAGTGAAGCGTGACCTTCTCAAAGAGGATAAAAAGCGGAGATCTAGTGTATTTGCAAAGTTTGGGAGCTACAGGCAGAAAGTTAAGGTATTTTATATAATGTTTCAACGACAATAAGGTGCCAATACCTTACAGTCTTTCAAAAGGATTATATATATCATTTTTAATTACTATTATTTTATATGTGAAATATATTATCTAAACAATAAAATTAACATTTCTTCCATAATGCAATAAAACAAACCAAGTAAAAAAATTTTTTTTTAAATATTAAGTTGGAGTTTTATGTCCATTGTATCCCATTATTGTGAGCCTCAGAAGCTGAGTAGGTTGACAGATGACATTTAGAATCTCAGAACATGACAACTTGTTTAACCCTCTGAAGTACAGGGTGGGCCATAAGAAATGGGACACTGCAGTATTTAATATCACATAGATGTATGACATACCAATTGCACAAAATAATGAAAACATGCATCATGTGACTTTAAATGTTATGACTTTTACATGCAGTAGAACCTGTCTATGTTCTACTTGAGAGGTGTTATACTTATAGAGGTTCATTTCTAGAGGTGTTCCACTTCACATGTTTCACTGTACATCCACAAATCGTAAAACCTTACACTTATTAATTTTTTGTGACATTCAGTTCATAAGCATTTTTTTAAATAAAATTAAAGTGAGTGTTCCATTTTTGGCCCACCCTGTAATAACCCCTGCTTGCTTCCATTATATATAACTAAAGATGATATTTTCTAAGACAATTCAGATCATTAAACCTACAAGAGTTCTATTTTTGAAATGGTATATTGTTATAGTCCCATTATTGTGATTTATTGTTGGCGGCTATATCATCCATTTCAAAGACCCGTAGAGATGAGAAATATAGAAAAAATAGAATATGACTACCACTCCCATCCTTCTAAAATAGACAAATGATACTAAATAAAGACATGAATTCAGCCTGATGCCCGAGGAGCAGAAAATACATTTATGGAACTCTGCAGGTTTCCCCTACAAAAACACATTTGCCAAAATGAGTAATTAAGAATAAAAGAAATGTGTAATATCACCATACACAACTTATTTGACGTCTGATCAGAAGTAATTTATTTTCATTTTTCGAGGCTCTAATACAATTTTCATTTCATTCTGTAAACATGTGGAACAAACATGTGATGCGGAATTCTTTATGTTTCAGTTAAAAGAGGAGAACAAGAAGACACACAGTTTTATGCCCGTCTCATTCAGTAATGCCACCCTATGCGATGTTTGTGCCAAATCTATGTCCAACAAGTCATCAGTGCAGTGTGAAAGTAAGTTCATTTATTAACAATTAAGTCCTTTTACGCACAGCTTACGTTATGGCACCATCATATTGTTACAGTCTCCAGGCATCCTTTGGCAACTGTAACAAATGGCTGGTGTTGACATTTTGGTGTTAATGCCTTGCAAATCAATGAACTCATATCAACATCACAATAAGAGAACGAAACACATGAATGTGCTTACATATGATTGGGTTATATAAGGTTATATTGAATGGATGATAATAAACTGTCATACAATGCAATAACAACTTTCTTATTATATTATTTATTTTATATTTGATGACAATGGTTGTTAATGGGGTGAGTGATCCGAGGGTTAAAGACTTGGTGTCAATGAACTAAATGCAAGTAGAAATAAACTTCAATACACAAGTAATCATTAAATATTCAAAATTTAGTCAAAATATTGCTGATATCTACATACAAAATGACATCCAGAAAATGAAGTTTTAAAGATTGTTTATCAACTTTGATTTGTAATTTTCATTGATTAAGTGATTCCTACATCGGGGAGATTTCCCATAGACCCCATGTTATAAAATCATGAAAACTAAAACACATATTATCTTCAATTGTGCAGATAATAATTCATTTCATTGAACTTATTTTGGATTGTATAATTATCAAACTCAAAAAGGTTAGATGAAAATTGATCCCCTAAATCTATTCATTGGTGAAGTAAGACAAACTTTTTCTACGCCTGTCACGTTATCTGACCTGAATTAGCCACCTGGTGGTGAAATGGGTAACTGTTCACTTGCACCTTATGTTTAACTGACAAAATAATAGATCAATCTCCATTTAATTGACATGATGAATCTTCACGGGCGGATGGTTGTTTATAGTCGAGTAATCGTTTTTTGGTACGAGTCGCGACAAATCTTTTAATTAGTTATATTGTACGGAGGTGTGTTGTCTATTATTTGAATTTAGATGTACCTTTTAGCCCCTATTGTGAGCCATTAATCTCCCTTACCTGACGTCTTGTTAGTTAAAACCTCCTACTCCACATTTGATGGTGAAGACAGATCAGAATAAATAGAAATCGGCTAGTCTTATTTTTTTTTCCCACAAATGAATTGATCTGAAAATCAGTTTCATTTGCGTCAATTCTTCGCTCATATTTCAGTGTTTTCATTATTTTACAAAGGTATTAAGATACTAAGAATTATGGGATATGTTGACCTACTGAATGGAGCATTATGGGATCATTTGTTAACCTCCTTTAGTAATGATACTCAGTCCCTCAGACAATTGACCATCAGTGTTACATTCTACTTAGTTATAATAGAACAGTTTCTTGAAACATTATTGTTTTGCTTCAAGGATGGTGACATTCAGTTTCGGATAATTACTCGATATATTCTTTCGAGCCATGAAATGTCTATTTTTAAGAGTTGTTTTTGTTGTCTCTTTAGGAATCGCCCACTCATCTGTCTGTTTGTTACTATCACATATTAAATTTTGTAACACATATTGTTATTACATGTACTCGTTATAGAATGCATCTTTGATTTTGCTTCTTAAAAAGAGAGTCTTTTCTGCATTTTTAGGACTAGGTCTACTTTCGTGCAATCAGATAAGGTCAATCAAATTTTAACTAACCAATCAGAATTGCAGACTCTGAACTTTATACATTCATAAGTAGCTGGTATTAGCCCTTTGGTTTCAGAGTATCTAAAATAATAAGTAAAAAATCTTATTTCAGATAATGTGATTTTTAAGATGAGCAAAATGATAATGAGTAGTATTGCAAATTCGAGAAGACACCCTCTTTATAAATTGTTACCTCCATTTGGCAATTAGAGGTTTTTAGAAAAATGTGGTTCTGCTTTGGTAATGATAAATGGTGATGATGCTTTGTACTTTAGCAATGAGAGGCTAGGCATTGTTCTTGTTTTAGCTGAAGATAAGTACTGTTGTTGCAGTGTTAACATTGTACTTTTAGAGGTACTTCAGGGAGAGCTTTTCACCAAAAAAGATTAATTAGGGGTGGCGCCAAGTTTTAAATATTCCCATTAGTATATATTGTATAGTGTAGGGAGTAGGTACATGCCACTGTTTCATTTAGGTGGAAAAATTAATTGGAGCATTCAAGAAAATTGACTTTTGTTCCATGTGAAATTAGATAAGGTCAGGTTTGTATTCATGTATTCAGAATGAGATTAACTTCTTTATCGGATATCTAGGGCAGGGTTATATTGAACTCTGTGAAATGTTAAGCAAGAGTCGGTAATTTGGTACATTTGAATCAACTGGGATCAACAATAATTCATCAAGCCGTACATCGTACATCGTCCAGAATTCAGGAAAGTACTTCCTATCAAATTGCATTGAATCGTTTTCGTTGCAGTTTAACCTGATCTGTTCATTGATTCTCTTTGAAGTCCAAATTCTAACTTAATTACATTAACTATTCAAAACCAATGGATGTCACAAAATATAGAAAATACAGCCTTAACATTCAAGTCTTGATCCTAAAGAGAAGATGATATTTGCAGAACCTAAAATCAATTAATTTGAAATTGAGCATTTATATCTGATACAAAGAATGATTAAAATGAAACCAAACCATCAAAGTTAGATGAAATCATAGAATGAGAGCATATATTAATAGGACTGCCTTCCTCATCCTTGACTCTCATATCGCCCAACGGTTGATGAACTTTACGATGTGACATCACTATATAAACAACTTGAAAAACCTTGAAGTTGACAGTATACAAGTGTTTTATATATTATATAATGACATTAATTGAAGTGAATCGCTACAATACAATGTTAATGTGGACCTCTAGAGTGATACAAGAGTCAATATAACCATTATGATTAAAACATAAGAGGAGCACTTCCATTCAAATGTCATTCACTTCTGGGTTGAAATATGCTGAGGAAATGGGACGAGGTGCTCTGTATAAGGTTGTTGCTCCATCCTGTTTACAATGTTCTTTGTCACAAGACATAAGTACTTGGACAAAGTTTGCTTGCTTCTGTCATCTTTAAGGTCTGACATGTTTAGTGGCACCATCCTGCTAAGCAGGTATCCAGAATTCGTATCTCCTTCTTCCCCCTGCTTTAACCAATTTGGAAGCGCCCGATTAAACTGAATCACGTGATCTAATTATGCGCAATGACTTATACGTGATTTCTGTCGCAGTGTTGCGACAGCCAATCAGATTGCGAGTTCTTAATCGGGGAAATGCTAATTGCTTATCGCAGGGGGTAAAATGAAAGAATATATTCTGGATTTAAAGCCCTGTGATCAGAGGATGAGTGGCACAGGCTGGAATTGTTTGGCCTATATAGAATATTAATGCATATGTTGACCACTAGATGTATGTACATAAATGTGCAGGACTAAAAAAGCTAAATATATTCATATATTATAATAAATTGATATTACAAAAATATATTTATTAATTGAACCATCACACAATAATTGAGTATTATAGGCACATAGTATATGTTGGCCGAGAGGGCTTGAGCGCCGGCACGTTCAGGCTAGGTAATTTGGCGCCATAACCACGAGGTTGCGAGTTCGAGACGCATGTCCTCCTTGTGTTTATTCATTTATCATAACTACATATTTACAAAATATACATTTATTTAAAACAGTAAAACCATCAGCATTAAATGAATGTTATTATATTGTATATTCAAGGCTGTGGAATCAACGTACATGACCATTCCTGTAAAGAGCAAGTGAACCCCTGTACCAGAGTGAAGAAGGTAGGTGCCTTGCACTGGCTTATTTCCTATAGGGACTGTCTTTTATGTTTTGCATTCTTGAAAAAAGATCCAGATATCATTATGAGACATAAAGCTTGATTTGCTAACACTAGCGGCTATTTTCGCTGAGAATTGGATGAGAAATGTAGAATTTATGCTGAACTTTCGAGACAGCCCCTTAGATGACATTTTAGAACAGTCAAAAGAAACAATTGAATTAGAGACAAACTCCCCATATGTGCATGGGCTACTTACATAGCTTATCCAGCATATATTATACACAATTAACGTCTAATTATTACACCTTATTAGGTGAGAGAGTAAACCAAAATGAAATTAATTATAATTTTTAAAACTTTTGACGTTTCTGTAAGATCCAGGCCCGTAGCCAGCTTTTGCCAAAGTGGGGTCACTTTTCCAAAAATCCAGGAGGTTCACATTTGACTATTTTGGCCCAAAATTACTTGAAAAGTCCTCAGAATGGTGAAAAACTACATGATTTTGAAAAAAAATTTACCAGCAGTGGCGGTACACCCCCTGGCTACAGGCCTGAGATCCTTCATTGATAGTAATATTTTAGTGAAGAGCGTAGAATTTCAGGTATTTTAGGTGATGCTGACTGCTCCAGTTTATCACAGGTGTTACCTTTGTCCATATAACTAGAACATGATCGGTTAAACATAAAACTGCGATTAATCACTTACCAGAACGTGAACATGTAACAACCATGATTTTATAATACAATATTAAAAAAAAAGGTTTGGGTCCTTTATGCATTGTTATAATTGTTAGTTTATTGTTTACATTTTCTAAAAAGGTTATTTACAAGGGATATGATATATCGATCAGGAGCTTAAAGAAGATGAATTACTGATTCTGCCTTTAGTTATAATATATGTTTTGATGAATGAGTGTCAAGGTTTACTCCATCAATCTCTGAAAGATGGTTTCATTCATGCTAAATCCTGAACATAATTGATGGTTGTTTCTCATTTTCCAAGAAATAGTATGGCATAATGCCCCTTTCACTCATCATAGTTACAGGGGCAGATCTCAAAACTAACAAGGGGTCCACATTTCAAGCCTGAAAAAAATTTGCCCCCTAAAACCAAAGATTAGGCCAAGATTTTGAAATTTAAGGCTCATTTTCTTGAATGTTTTGGTGTAAAAATAAGACCCAGTAATCCCCAAAAATGCCCACAAATTGGGGCCTTAAAATACTTCCCCCAGATTCGCCAGTGAGTTACACCTTTATCTTGATGTTGTTTTTTTTTATTATTTGTTCATATAATGTTTATATAATACAATTTTCAGATCATGTAAAGGTGTATATTGTCTCTTGTCATTAGCAACCTACTTGTTTGAGAAACATGCAAGTTCAGACCTCACGATTTGTTCATCAGGCTATTACCCCACTGAAGAAAGTTTGTGTAGGATAAAGAGGAGTTGTCTGTCTATCCGTTTGTCTATCCATTCGTCCATATATCACCTGGGCAAAAAATCGAACACCTGTTGACAGAATTTTATAGGCCGAATCTTGTATTGAACCTTTACTCGTGAAGGAGTTTTTAATATGATGTCTTGTCACATCATAGGTGTTATTTCTATCATGTGATGTTGATAAAATAGATCTTTTTTTCAGGTGGATCTGGTTGTCTTGGAGTTTGTGATATTCTGGTTTTCTCTTTTTGATCAGTTAACAACTTCATTTTTCTAATTGTATTAACAATAACAAAAGATTGTTTGAATTTGGTCAGCAGGCTATATTTTTTATATACATCAGATCAGAGAGGTTCACATCTTAATGGGAGTTTCGACTTTGTTGATCAGGAAATAGTTCAACAATGTGAAGTTCAATGTATTCATCATTGACAGATTCGCTATTGATCTCATTGTTCTGTTCAAATGATTAACCTGAAATTGCTCACAGAACTAATCAAGTATTAATGGCCGTTTGGAGGTTACTCCACTCTAAGCAGGACTTGAATTCACAAGAACCTGGTCGAGACAGACAGGATGTTATAGAAATGATAGCATCTATCATTTCTTCTATTGAGTTAAAGTTAAAGCAACCAACTAGAATATTCATGCTTAATGATGGTTAATCTCCCCATAAGGTGGTTGACATTAAAACAGCTACTTAGGAAACAAAACCAATGATTAGAAAAAGAGAACTTTCAAGCCAACTTTATGAATATTTATGTGAATTCTTGGGAGTTTTCTTTCATATTTGGCCATTGCCAAGTCACATACGTCTGCGTACTGTTCCTTCTAGGAAACACAGTACAATGCAAAAAAAACACAGACACTGTGTATAATTAGATTTACTTATCTTGTCGGGAACATGTAATTCATTATTATCTAAAATCAGAGTTTTATGTATGATTATATAACAAATTAATTATATAACTGTGTACTTTAGTGGGTAGATCTCTGAAAGTATACAAAGTTTGATTTTTGGTTAAAATTGATGTTTTTTCAAAAGATTTAGGTACAGATATATCCTGGATCATTTAGTGAGTTCTCATCTATTGTCTGTTACACTTTTGTAAATAAAATCAATAGAACGGATTTTTCTCATTTATTCTTGGAAGAATTCATGGTGTAATTGGTGTGATTCATATAACTTCCAATAATTTTCATGTTTTTTTACTTGTACTTGTATACACAAATGTATATTGGAAATGCACTCAAAAACCAGGTCAGGATTTTGGAAATAACATATTGTGAATGTAGTTCTGTTTATTAATATTATATGGGCTGGTTGGTCTGGTACTCATTCTGTGGTTATTCACTATAAGTGTTCCACATTTTCAATATATGCTCCTATGGTGGTACATCTCTATATAGGTTATTCTGCATATCATTATTGATATGCCAAATTTTGTTCTAATTGCCAGAACACTTTAATACCAGAGCTTTTTTCATTTTTGTTCATTTTTTGTTAAAAATGTTGGGAATTATAAGAAATGTTTTAGGGGATCATTTTTCTGCTACACAAGTCAGTTTGGTTAACATTAGGATGCTTGTATAGGTTTGCAATGATCAAAATAGATTATGCGCTATCTTTAGTGTGTCACCTTTGAGACAACCCCTAATAGTGTTACTTCCTCGTTATATAGCAAAATTATAATAAATGTATGAATGGTTTGCTAAAATCTTATATTTCTTTTTTGATTGTGATTGTTAGTGATTGCTCATATTTTCCATGTTCATGATCCGTTTTTCCCCGAAATGAAAAGCGAAAGGCTTTGTGTGAAAGCTTAAATTTTGATTGTTGACTTTTATTATGTTCTGCTTGTTGTCCATTTGCTAATTTCACTAATTTCATTTAATGAACGGTTCCTGAGTTCTAAGAAAAATTAAATTACATCATCTACATAATTGTTTTCTGTATGTGATTGTCTGTATATTTTTCCCTGAAAAAATGGTTCCACATGCATATAGTCCAGTTAAAGGATTATTCCTTCCCTGAGCATTTCTCTCTTGATATGGTAGCAATAACCATATGGTATACCTTCCATATTTAGCAACATGGGAAATTATTTTGATATGGTCGATATTTATCATTTAAAAATGTAGTGCTCAATTCCAGTTGGCTTCAATGAACTTCATATGAACTCTCACTATATGATAAAATAACAAGTATATGAACTCTCACTATATGATAAACTAACAACAGCACCATCTTCACCATATAATTGTTGTTTTATAGAATTCTTGGAGAACCCATTGATAGCAAGGAGCCATCTTCAAGCATTAATTACTTGATAACCCAGATATACAAGGCCGCATGGTACCAGTCTGCCATTTCAGGATAAAACCTCATGCTCCCAGACAGCTTAGAATCGGTCATTTTAGAATTTCATGAATTTCTCTGAAAACAGAATGGAGAAATAGAAAATAAGAGTATTATGTCCAGTGTGGGTGTTTTATATTGATATGCTCTGTTCTATTGCCCCTGGGTAGTTTCAATTATAAAAGATGACCGATTATGTATGAGAGTTTTAGTGGTCTTTAGAGACTGATGATTTGAAAATCTACATATTTTTTGAATCCTAGTCTCAAAAGACTATTTCAGCACATATTTCAAGACGAAATCTCTCGTTTCATTTATAATAATTACAAAAATGTTTTTCTCAAAACTCGATAGTAAGTGTGTGATGAAGCATTAGTGTGGTGAGATATATTGTTTCTTGTCTAGTCTTGAAGGTTTTCTGTTCACTTACCAGTTTGTTACCATGGTAATTGACTTGTTCCCCATAGTACAACAAATACATCAATCATTTTTGTTTTCTTCAATTATTTTTTTTTTCTTCTTCACAACTATGTCCTAAATGTTTACAATAATGGAGATCTTTGTCCTAGATAATTTTTGTTTTTTCTGTCATTTCATTTCTGTTCATTTCTGTTATTACTATTTGTATCATTCGGGTGTGTTCTTACAGTTTCTTTTTATTGACAGTCACACAAAAAATGTGAATCTGATAATACAAAAATACATCACTTACTCTAAGTTTATTATCAAGATAATACAAAATTTTCAGTGATATTCCACATTATGAAATATGTGTTGAAAATGTTCATGACATCATTGTTTTTACGTTTGATCGTGAAAAAATTTGGTTGAATATATTTCAAGGGTGTCATCGCTGTTAATAAACAAAATTGTTATTTTAATGAAACACCAACTAATCAAAAACCACATTGACAGTTTGATGGATAATCAATTTTTTAAAAACAGGCAATTTACAGTTGTTGATAATATGTTTGTTTCCTGTTGCCTCCTGTCAAGTTATATCAATTTAACTATGTATTAGATCGTCTTTAAGTTAGTATAAAAAAAATTGATTTAATTCAACGAAACCACACGTAATGTATCTCAATATTATGAATACATGTAAGGCGGACTAGAATCTAATGAGATGAACTTTAAATAAATAGCTGGTAATTGTGGTCGCCATGGGATGCAGTGTCAGTTATTTAATAATTCTGTGTTT